GGACACATATCCGGGAGAAACGAGGGCAGGTGGCCGCCTAAGGACAGCCGGACGGAGAATGCTCGCGGCATCCTTGTCCATTCCAGCCCCAAACCGGAAGAGCCGCCCAAATCACCAGCAGGGGAACGGCGGCAGCGACTTCCGCCTGTTCCCGCAGTGGACCCCTGCACGGCAGCGGGGAAAACCGAGGGACAGCCTGGCCCAGTGATGTAGATGAATCCGGCAGACGGGTCGAGTAAAAAAGCCGAACCTAACAGAGCACACATGGTACGATTCCATGTCTGAGGTTCGAGAACAGGCAAAACCAATCTGTGATGCTGGAAGTCAGAGCAGTGGTTACCTATGGGTGAGGCACGGAGGTGGGAGGGGGCATGAGGAGCTTCTGAGCGTCTGGAAACACCCTGTATCTTGATCAGGGAGATAACTACATGGGTTTACATACATGTACAAAGTCATTGAGCTGAACATGGTGGATGAGGGCACTTTACTATATGTACGATATATTTTTTAAAGATTTTATTTATTTATTTTAGAGAGAGGGTAAGGGAGGGAGAAAGAGAAGGAGAGAAACATCAATGTGTGTTTGCTTCTCACACACCCTCTGCTGGGGACCTGGCCCTCAACTCAGGCCTGTGCCCCGACTGGGAATGGAACCCGTGACCCCTTGCTTCACAGGCCAGCACTCAATCCACTGAGCTATGCCAACCAGGGCTATGTTTGACATTTTTGTAATTGATTCATTTAGAGAGAGAGGAAGGGGGAGAGAGATAGAGAGAGACATCAATTTGTTCCACTTATTTATGCATTCACTGGTTGATTACTTATATGTGCCCTGACTGGGGATTGAACCTACAACCTTGACATATTAGGATGATGCTCTAACCAACTGAGCAACCTGGCCAGGGCTACCACACAGGGCTATCTGTATGTTAAACTTCAATTTAGTCAGCAATCTAAATATAAAAACCAAAATTATGCAATCAAAAGAAGAAAAAATAGGGGTAAATGTTCAAATATCTGATAAGGGTTAGAAGTCAGAATATATATATATATATTTTAAAGATTTTATTTATTTATCTTTAGAGGGGAAGGAGAGAGGGAGAGAAACATCAATGTATGGTTGCCTCTAGTGCATCCCCTGCAGGGAACTGGCCTGCAGGAAACCTGCCTGCAACCCAAGCATGTGCCCTGACTGGGAATCGAACCGCGATCCTCTGGTTCACAGGCCCGTGCTCAATCCACTGAGCTACACCAGCCAGGGCTCAGAATATATTTTAAAAACTCAAAAGATTCAACAACAACAACAAAATCAAACAATCCAATTAAAAATGGACAAAGGACTAGAATAGACACTTGTCCAAAAAATACATATAAATGCCCAACAAGCACATGAAAGGTGTTTATTGCTCATTAAGGAACATGATTGGTTTAAGGAAACGCAAATCAAATACAATGAGATACCACTTCACACCCTCTAGGACGCCTTTCATTTTGAAAATGGAAAATAATAAGTGTCAGCAAGACTGTAGAGAGATTAGAACCTTCATGCACACTGGTAGAAACATAAAATGGGAGGAACAACCACTTTGTAAAACACTCTGCCAGTTCCTCACAAGGTTAAACAGAGTTTCCAGATGACCCAAGGTAAATGGGCACATATATCCTCACAAAAACTTGGGCACAAATGCCCGTGGAGCATTATTCATAATAGCCAAATGCCCATCGACTTATGAATAAATAAGGGAGGTGGGGATGGCTGGGGTGGGGGGAACAGGGGGAAAGGCAGAAAACTGTACTTGAACAACAATAGAATTAAAAATAAATAAATAAATAAACTCATGAATAAATGAATTGTAGTATAGCTGTACGATAGAATATTATTCAGCCATAAAAAGGACATGATACCTGTTACAATATGGAGGAAACTGGAAAGCATAGGCTAAGTAAAGGGAACCAGATGCAAAAGGTCACACCCTGCAGGGTCCCACTGATGTGCAGTGTCCAGAGCAGGCAAAGCGGCAGAGACAGAAAGCAGACCCGTGGCCACCAGGGGGTGGGAGGAGGAGGGAGTTGGGAGTGATTAATTAAAGGCTATGGGGTGTTTTCCTGGGACGATGAAAAAGGTTTGGAGACTACATAGAAGTCGTGGTTGCATCACACTGTGAATGCGAGGAAGTCCATTGAAGTGAGCGCTTTAAAATGGTTAATTGTATGTTAGGTGGCTTGCCCCGCAATTTTAAAAATAAATAAAGTTTAATTTAAAAGTGAATGGAAACTGAAAAACAAACATCACCTCCAAGGCCCTGGGGGCACTGACAGAACCTGCTGGATGCAAACCACACTTCTCCTGGCCTCCTTTCTCTCCACTGCAGCCCCACGAGATGGGGCTTCTCCAGGAAAGTGACTGAGCCGGGCTCACAAGGCTGCCAAGAGACAGTGCCCCGTCCCTCGGACCTGCCTCCAGGCACCCAAACTGCCCCATCAGTGCCCCAGGGAGCTGGTGAGGTCAGGAGCCGGGAACTGTTCTGCAGCCTCGAGGCGGGAGTCAGTGACTGAGGGGCTTGGAATGTGCTGCTTCTGAAAGACCTTCTTGTGGCTCCACCGACGGTTAGAGCAGGAAGGGACTTTCAGAGCCATGTAATCGCACACGCGCACACACACTTGAGACCTGAGCCCCTGCTCAGTCACTGCCCCCAGGCTGTTCAGGGAGCAGGCAGGGTGTTGTTTCTGGAGCAGGCAGATGGATATAGTCAAGGCTGACCTGACTCAGACCTTGCATGTGCCACTACCTGGCCCTGTGTCACCCTGTCCAGCTTGTACTTAGCCAAGGAGTCCAGATACTAGTCTGTGTGTGTGTGTGTGTGTGTGTGTGTGAGTGCGAGTGTGCAGTACAAGCGCCTTTACCATAGGATCAGACCCCCAAGGGCTCTCAGCCCTGGGGCTTTATATTTAACGTGTGTGTGTTTATTTTTTTTGTCCAGTTCTTACTATATGGTGTGCTAAACATGGAATATTATGTTATTTCTAGTCTCCAGCAATTCTGAGATGTAATTACCATTATGTCTCCATTTAACAGATGAGCAGAGGCGTTGAGAGATTGTCTCCCTCATCAAGGTCATATAGTGGGTGAGGAGCAGAATTCAAACTCAGAACCCAGAGTTATCTGATTCCAACACGCGTGTGCTTTTTCATGGGTCAAACTGCCTCAAAAAATCTTTCTCTCTTCACATACACCCCTATATTGCTCACTGTAAACTGCTGTTGGTTTCTTTTTAGAGAAAGATAGGCATTGAGGACAAGGGCAAGGGACCGGCACCAGGTTGCTAATCACCTTCTGGGTACGCGGCAACTCATATCTTACAAAGCACATTCACATTTGTGATCTCATCTGATCCCACCGCAGCCCCATGAGGTCAGCAGGAGGCTCAATTATTCCCACAGGGACTGGCACTCAGAGGGAAGGTCACAACCCAGGGTCACAGAGACAGAAAATGGTACCTCTGGGACTGGAAGCCCAGGGCCAAGCTGGCCTTCTGGTTCTAAGTCCTGCATGTACCCACAGTCCCCTCCCTGCCCTCTCTCCCCAAGGAAGGCAACCTAGGCTCCCACCTCTCTGAAATCTTCCTCCCCTGAGGACAAAACCAGAGCTGGACTCCATGGAGGTACCAGAGGAAAGTGGGAGAGCCCAACTCTCTCTCTGAAGCCGTGTGAGGTAGGAAGTTCAGTTTCCTCAGTAGAATGGGAGGAAGCTGAGAAGAAACTTTGGGGGGGGGTCCCCCAGCCCTGACATTCTGCAGATGTGAAAAGGTGTCTGGGCTTGGAGCTGCCCCAGTTCTGATCTGCCAGCCTGCTTCAGCCATTCTCTCAGTGATCTTAGGCACTTCATTTCAACACTTCCGAGCCTCAGTTTTCCCATCTGTAGAATGGGATGATGATTTTACCTTCCAGGTAAAACCTGCCTTCCTGTGTTGCTGGCCTTTGGTTATTGACATTTGACCCTGGCCTCACAGTCACACAGACCTTTGACATGATCTTCAAGCAAGGCTGATGACCACACAGCCCTGGAAGAGCACAGACAATATTTAAAGAAGAAGGTGTTTTTCAGGCCAAGGGACACCTGTGTCCCACTGCAGGCTCTCGCTGCTTAGAAGGGCTCTGAATTAGAACTTGTTATAGGTACTAAAATTATCCTGTGAATAGCACAATTATTTTGCACTGGACTTGTGGGTAATTCAAAACATTAACTTGTTCACGGTAAGCGTTTAAAATACATAAGTGTTTTTGTAACTCTGGTTTGTCATTTAGTTACTTTCTATTATACTTGAATCTTAAAACAATACCAGTGGAAGGGCTCCACGCCACGATGTGCAGCCTTGGATGGTAGTAGTACGTTCCTGGCATGAAATAAGCACCCAGTTAATAATAATAATAATAATAATAATAATAATAATAATAATAATCAATCGCATTTATAATGCACTTTACAGTTTTCAAACCCTTTCACATTCTTTATTCCAACTCCTATGCGCAGTAAGGTAGCTATATGAGTATTTCGTCCCATTTTACAAATAAAGAAACTGAGGCTGGACCATGCCGTGAGAGGGTGCGCGCAAGTCCTGGAGTGGGGGCGTCGAGGACTGCGTTGGTTGGCTGAGCGGGGCGGGGCCGGCTCCCAGCAGCTCAGGTGCGAGTAATCCGCCGGGGAATCCTCTGCTTCACCTGGGTGCAGCGAGGAAATTGCACCATGTATGGGCAGCTGCGTCAGAGGGGGGCGGACCCGCTGCTGGAGCTGGGGGACGTCAAATCTTCTCTGTTCCCAGAGAAAAGGCGGCTACGGGACCTTAGGAGACATTGAACAGTTCAGTGCTGACAAGCAAAAGGTGGCGCGTCGGGAGAGGCGGAGCCGGGAGGAGACCCGCGCCGTTGCGCCACGCCCCCACCCCCTAGTTGAAGTGATTCAGCCCGAGAACTTTTCATTCATAAAAAGAAAAGACTACGCGAGGAGCGGCTGAGTCAGAACCCAAGCCGCTGACGCTGACCCCACAGAGCAGCCAGCCCAGGGCATGTTCCGAGACTTCGGGGAACCCGGACCCAGCTCCGGGGGCAGCGGTGCGTACGGCGGCCCCGGACAGCCTCCGGCGACAGGCCAGCAGGTGAGAAGGAGCGGACGCCTGGGGTCCCCGGGGGAAACAGCGCCTGGGACGCTGCGGTCAGCACCGACACGCGCTGGGTCTGGGGCCGGGAGCAGGAGTAGAGACCTGGTATAGGTGCCGTGGCCGCGAGCCCTGCCCACTGTCCGCGGTCCGGGGACACATTCCCCCCAGCTAGGGAAACGCGCGCGGGGGGGTAGGAGGTGTAACAAAAATCTGTGAACGTCCCCTCTCTCGCTCGTCCCTTTTTCCCTCACTGTCTGCTATCTGTCCCTCCGTCTTTCTTTCTTCTTGTCCTTAACTTCTTTATTTCTTACTGTCCAGTGCTAATTTCTTTGTCCATCTGCATTAGAACGGGGCCCCGGCACCTGCGTTAATCCTAGCCCTGACAGGGTCACAGGGTTTGATTCATCTCGGACTAAATTCCCGGGATGGGACTCGGGATCTGAACTGCGACCCAGGCGTCCAACACAGGAAGGAGGCTAGATCCATCCGCAGGCTAGCCCAACAGACCGGGAATCCTCCGCACCGTCTGTGATCGTCTGTGATCGTCTGTGTATCCGTCCTTTTGTCTGTCCTTCTCTACCCCGTCGCCAAGTCCCTATCCCCTTCTCTACGCAGTGGAATCTGGTGGGCTTCCGAGACTGGTTCTTGACCCCTTCCTTTACAGGTAGGGGCCAATCAAAACGGAAGGTGCGGGAACATGCGCGGGGTCATGCAGCGGGGGACTCCCGCTCCCCCGACTCTTGGCGCCCACTGGCGGTTGGGGGGACCCCGGAGGTTGCAGGTGCCCATTTCCTGTCGAGGGGCCAGGAGCACGTGTCGTTAGGGGAGGGAAGGAGCGGCGTCCGTTCCGCCGAGTCACGGCGGCCGAGTCACGGCGGCTGACTCACTTGGGGTGCCCCTCCCTTCCTGGCCCGGAGCGGCCCGGGCCTGGACAACCTCGGGAGCAGAAGATACCGCCGGCGGTGCCTCGAGCCCGGAACTGGGGTCACTGGGCCACTGGGCCCCCAGCACTGGGCCAGGGACATCGCTGCACGGACTTGCCTGGGCTTGAATCGCCTTTTCCCGGAGGACTGGGCACACACACCCAGAGCCCAGCCCCAGGGTTAGAACCCAGTTCTCCCGGAACACTGAACCCCCATCTCAATCTCCTTTCTGGCTGAAAGAGAATAGCGGCAGGTAATACCTGGAGCTCTAGCTGTACAACCAGGCATCCTGCTGGGCGGGTTTCTCCTTATTTAGCGTATTTCACAGAATCTCAGATCCCATTGATTTGAAAACCCACCATTATTTTGTGCCACTAAATTGTTTAAAATTGCCAATTATCATCGCTTCTTGGCCTTTTGGCCAAGATCAAGTGTAGAGATCTGTTCTTTTCAGTTTAACATCTGATACATCCTCTGAGGACCACATATTAAATGGATTTTTGGAGCAGGAGATGGAATAGGGGCTTGCTCCGCCCACGCCGCTCACTGACCCAGCCTTGCCGAACCTTCAGGAAAGGCACACCCCCTCTGGGGCAAAAAAAAAAAAGGCCAATTAAACCGATTTCAGAGCTGCTAAAGGGTACTTCTTAGCATCGATGAAATGCCATAATCCTTATCTATGACAATATTAAAATCAAGGAAACTGAGGCACAATGAGATTCAATAGTGTGCCCAAAGTCACAGACAATAAGTAGTCCGAGCTAAGATTAGAACTGGAACAGCTGGAACCCAGAGCCCTGACTCTTGTCCTCCACAGCCCTTACCAGGCCCTGTCACATACATTCTCTCACCCGGTTCTCACAGCCACCCTTGGAGTTGGGAGCTCTGACCATCCTCTGTGCCAACCGGACCTGGGCAGGTGCAGGCGTGGGAAAGAGCCAAGGGGCCTGGGACCAAGTCCCACTGCCCACTTACTGGCTGTATGTCTGAGGACAACCATTTTCCTGTCTGAAAATGAAGATACTGTTGTGCAAATTATATGAGTCAATATTTGTAAAGTGGTTGGGACAGTGCCTGGAATTCATATTTTATAAGTATTAGCTCTTATGGGGAAATGAGGTACAGAGAGGTTATGTGATCTGCCTAAAGTCACACAGCTCAGGAATGGAGGTTTGTTACTCTGTCTCTCTAACTGCCAAGCTGTGCTCTTGCTCTTTCTGGTATCTCAGTGTCTGTCTTGAGGGTGGACAACAGTGTGGCTTCTGTCCACTGGAAGCCCCTCAATTAAGACAGACTACACCCCTGATCTCCATTTCTTATCCCTCAGAAGTTTCACCTCGTGCCAAGCATCAGCGCACTGAGTAGCAGCCAGGAGCCTCAGTGGATGGTTCAGCCTCACTTCCTGGGACCTAGTAGCTACCCAAGACCTCTGGCCTATCCCCAGTACAGCCACCCACAGCCCCGGCCAGGAGTCATTCGGGCCTTGGGGCCACCTCCAGGCGTGCGTCGCCGGCCCTGTGAACAGGTAAGGGGCAGAAGCCTTGCGGGGTTCTGATGCCCACAGGGGTGTACAGGTGCAGAGAGTAGTTCTTGCCCCAAAGGAGAACACAGGCTTAGAAGGAGGGAGAAGGTAGCACCACTAGTGACTATTGGCCAAGGTGGAAAGTGAGAGGAGTCTCTAGGAAGACCCAGAGGACAAAGAGGTCACTTCTGGATCAGGGAATGCTTCCTGGAGGTGGAGGCATATAAGCCTAGAAAGATGGGTAGGATTTGCATAGATAGAGTTGAAGGAAAGGACATTCCAGGTAGAGGGGATGGCACAGCAAGAATGGAGGTGGAACCCTGGCCAGGTGGCTCAACTGGTCAGAGCATCTACCCAAAATGTCTAGGTTGTGGGTTCAATCCCCAGTCAGAGCACATACAAGAAGCAACCCAAGAGTGCATAAATAAGTGGAACAACAAATCAATGTCCCTCTCTCTTCTTTCTTTCTCTAAAATCAATTAAAAAAATTTTTTTTAAAGAATGTCGCCCTGGCTGGTGTAGCTCAGTGGATCGAGCATGGGACTGTGAACCAAAAGATTGTGGTTCAATTCCCAGTCAGGCAGGGCACATGCCTGGGTTGCAGGCCAGTTCCCAGCAAGGGACACACAAGAAGCAACCATACATTGATATTTCTCTCCCTCTCTCCTTCCCTTCTAAAGATAAATAAATAAAAAAATTAAAAAGCATGTTAGTGGAGGTGAGAACATGTAAGGTACATGTGGAAAGGCACGTGGACAGAAGACACCCACCTGCAGACGGGAATGAGAGGGTGGGCTTGTGCTGTGTCTGTGTACCTGGGAAAGAACAGAAAGCAGGTTCCCTTTAGCTGCTGTCTGAGTCTGTTTCGCTGTCTCCCTTAAAACCTCACAAACACCCTCTGGTTTCCCCCATATTACAGCCAAGGAAATGAAGGCCCAGAGAGGTAAAGTCACTTGCCCAAGATCACACAAGTATTGAGTAACGAGACAGGTCTGCCCAATTCTGAAGTTAGATTCTAACCAGCCAGCCACACTGCCTCGCTCAGAGCTAAGAGAAGGCTTGAAGAAGAGAGCTGGGAACTTTTGCCTCCCCAACCAGCTTTCCTACTCACACACTGCTAATAATGTCCTTTCCAAAATAAATAAGAGATAGTCTTTAAGGGAGTGGCACCTCTTTCCTCTCCTCAGCGCATTTTTTAAACAAATATTTTATCTTTTATTTTTAGAGAGAGGGGGAGGGAGAAAGAGAGGGAGAGAAACATTGATGTGTGAGAGATACACCCATTGGCCCCTAATTCAGGCATGTGCCCTGATGGGGAATTGAACCCCAACCTTTAGCTACTCCATCCACCCATCTACACCAGCTAGGGCAACCCTGGAGCCATGTGAGTATATGAGATGGTAGTGAGTGAGGTTTGCACTTCGAACAGGTTGCTCTAACAGTTGGGTAGAGGATGGAGAGGGATGCTGGGATCCTGGGAAAGATGTGCTATTGGCTGGGAAAGGTGTGCCAGGGGAGGCTTTTCTGGCTGGCCTTTGTGACCACCTGGAAGAGGACTATTGTGTGAGCCCCAGAGGCAGGCCTTGGCCTTTCTCCCTGAGCCCTGTCCTCAGGGCGCTTTGGTCCTTGGTCCTCTCAGACTGGGGCTGTGAGCTGTGAGCTGTGAGTGGGGTCCTTCATGGGGAAGATGGTCTCCATCAGCTGGCCTTTCATTCAATGTTGAATAGAGTGAGTGGATTTTAACTTCTGCTCTAGGACCAACACAAGTTATTCATCTTCCCTGGGCTTCAGTTCCTTACATGGAAAGTCGTGTGAAGAATCCAAGAAAAGCACCCTGGCCTGTGTGCTCACCTGGCTGAGTGTTGCCAGGCAAGCAAAAAGGTCGCTGTTTTGGTCAGGGCACATGCCTGGGTTGCAGGCCAGTTCCCAGCAGGGGACGCATGAGAGGCAACGGTACATTGATATTTCTCTCCCTCTCTCCTTTCCTTCTAAAGATAAATAAATTTAAAACAATTAAAATATAAAATAAAAGACTAAAGTTTAGAAAAAGAATCTAAGAGAAACACTTTGCTGGCATACAGTGGATTTATAATAAATAACAATTTAGCAGCAGTCAGCCCCTCCTAGTGCTTCCAGCCCCTGGGGAAAAGGAGACTTGGCCATAAAGAAATTGAAAAGAATAGGGGTCTCTTGAAAAGGAGTGGCTGGCTCCCAAAGGCTCCAAGGAGGAAAGGCTATGGGTACTTCTGGCAGGGGAACGAGAGAAGACTTCCTGCAGGAGGAGGCATCTTACTTGAGTCCCAGGAAATGAAGAGGGTTAAGGTTTGTGCCTCCCGAGAGGGGGATAGGAAGAAATCTGACTAGAGTCTGCTGAAGTGAGTTCTGGGGACACGTCGGTGCGCAGTGGTCCTGCAAATGCAGGAGGAGGGTGCCCCTGCGCTGCCATGCCCTCCACCAAGGTCCTAACTCTGGGCAACCGCACTAGGGGAGTGCCCAGCAGCCTGTAGCCCAGGATACACCTCACTGGTCCCTCTATCCCCCAGGTCAGCCCGGAGGAGGAGGAGCGCCGTCGAGTGAGGCGGGAGAGGAATAAGCTGGCTGCGGCCAAGTGCAGGAACCGGAGGAAGGAACTGACCGACTTCCTGCAAGCGGTGAGCACTGGTCGGTGCCGAGGGTGCCTGTGGGGCCCCAGGGGACACTGGAGAGGCAGTCCTTAGGAAGAAGGACGAGGAAAAGGTACTTGAATCAACAGCCGACCGGAGCTAAAGCTTCCTCCGACAATCTCCTAAAACGCTCAAGGTCTCAGTTGGAGCCCTGCACATTTTTTTCTCCCAGGGCCTCATGGGAATTGTAGTCCAGACTTGGTGGAGACTCCCCCACTCACCCTACTTCCAACCGCCCAATCACCACCACCATTTGGAAGCTACACAGTATTCCAATCTCAGCTTCTTGATTCCTGACCTTCTCCCTACAGGAGACTGACAAACTGGAGGACGAGAAATCAGGGCTGCAGCGAGAGATTGAGGAGCTGCAGAAGCAGAAGGAGCGGCTGGAGCTGGTGCTCGAAGCCCACCGCCCCATCTGCAAAATCCCAGGAGCCAAGGAGAGTGACACTGGCAGCACAGGCGGTACTAGCAGCACACCAGCCCCTGTTCCTTGTATCTCCCTTTCCCCGGGGCCTGTGCTTGAACCCGAAGCATTGCACACTCCTACGCTCGTGACCACACCCTCTCTGACTCCTTTCACTCCCAGTCTGGTCTTCACCTACCCCAGCACCCCTGAGCCCTGTTCCTCAGCCCATCGCAGGAGCAGCAGCAGCAGTGGGGACCCGTCCTCTGACCCCCTTGGCTCCCCTACCCTCCTGGCATTATGAGGCATACTGGTCCCTCTCCCTGCAGGTGCCACCTAGCCAATATTTCCTCACCCATTGGTCCAGCTGGCCTGGGCCATATTCCATGCTCAACCCCTGCCGGTTCTTCTCCATCCTACCAGATGAGACTGAGCCTATTTTGCTTCCTGGTGGAGCCAGCTTGGGGCCACCAAAGCTGCCCACTCTAGAGGCATTTCTCTAGAGCAGGCCTCTCTAGCACAATTTCCTTTAAATCAGAGACAAAATATTTCCCATTTGTGCAAGAAAACTCTAGGCAGCCCCAAATGACTTTGTAGATCCCTACAGGTTTTCTGGAGCCCTAACCCCCTCCAGACCTCCCCTAAGTCTTCATCACCTTCTTCCTGTGATCCACCCAACCCTACCCCTTGACAAGCGATATACCAGCCTAGAACACTAACTCACCCAGCCCCACTGCCAGCAGCACCAGGTGACTGAACTAGGGCATCCTGTCGACCCCTCCAGAAATGGCACAGCTGGAGAAGGTGCCAGAGACTTCTGTGATGAGCTGAGCTGCAGCCCAGGCTCTGAGAAGACTTTAGCTCCAGGGTAACTAAGCCTCCACCGCAAAGGCAGCTGCTATTTATTTTCCTAAAGAGAGTATTTTTATACAATTCTGCCAAAATGAAATAAAAGGCTTGAAGCTCCAGCCTCATTACATTGGCTCCAGAGGCTAAAGGGAAAACATTTGGATCCAGAAGTCCTGGATTCAAGACTCAGCTCCATGGACTCACTACATGACCTTGGACAAATTACTTGATATTCCTGGGCCTCCCTGACTTATCTGACAAACGAAGCTACATCTGCTCTGCCTCATCGCCAGGATTGAGAGGAAGAATGTTGTGGGATGCCAGCCAAAAGGATTATCCTCCTCCTCCTGATGGGACCCCACCTTGCTCCTGCATGTACCACAGGAGGGCGCTGTTATCACTGTTAGGCCCCTTACAGCCTAAGAGGAGGCGGCTGAGTGGCTTCTAGGCCCCCAACACCTGCTTCCTGCCCCATTGTCTTGGACAGGAAGGAGCAGGGAAGGGAGCTGGAGCCACTTCAGGGGCCGGATCACGGCCTATACCGGTGCCTGCTGGAAGGGCCCGGTGGGGGTGGGGGTTGTAGCCAGCGGCTTTCCACGGTCCCATGTCCCTCCCCAGGCTCGAGGTAATGGGGGAGGATCAGACACATTAGTTGTGTAGCCCCTCCAGAGGGGAATGATACCCTGTCTCAAGGTCCCCGCCCTTGTCCTAACCCCGGCGAGTGCCAAACAGACGCTGCCCATGGGGTCTGCTTCCGTCCCAGTTTATTAGCCACCACCCAGCCCCCTGCCAGTCCCTCTGCTCCAGCTTCCAGTCCCCTCTTGCCCCGCCAGCGAAAGCAAGGGGCCCTCCTCATTGCCAGGATGTCTAAGTCCATGCCAGCGGCCCCTCCTGTGCAGCCGGGCGGCTTCCAGGTCCCGAGGTACACTGCAACCGCGGCGCTTTGGGGGCCATCCGGGCGGGCGTCGGCGCCAAGGAAGCTGCGCCCTCAGTCATCTGGGGAGCAAGCCAGGGGCAACTGATCAGGACTACCCACGCTGCCGGTGCTGGAGCTTCCATCGCCCAGGTCGCGGGGCCCGCAGGGGGGCAAGGTGAGCTCCGGGGTCGGCCCGGTGCCTGAGCCCCCCACGCCACCGGGACTGCTGCGGGGGCCCCACTCCTCACCCAGCGCTAGGCAGAGCTCTTTAAGCGCTAGGTTCTCCCGTAGCAGCTCTTCCTGGCGGCCCTCCAGCTCGGCCAGCTTCTGCCAACAACCGCCCAGGTCCTCACGCACAGCCCGGGATGCCTGGGTCCCGAAAAGCTGCCACTGGCGCGCAGCGCGCCGCCCGCGCTGGCGCTCCGAGTCCAGGAAGCAGCAGAGATCGCGCAGCTCCCGATTCTCGGCTTGCAGGCGCCGGTTGAGCTGCTTGAGCTCGCGGATTTCGCCCAGGTGACCCTGCAGCTGTCGATTCACCTCCTGCATGAGGCGGCCGCGCTGCACCAGAGCCGCCAGGCGCGCCGCCTCCTCCCGCCGCAGGCGCCGCACCAGCTCCTCCTTGCCCAGCGCCGCCATCTCCTCATCCGTCAGCTCCTCCAGGCCGCTTGCCTCGGCCTCCATGACTGCTCAGATCTCTGGAGCATCGCCTGCCCGCTGCCGCGGTCCAGGTGCCCCACGTCGAGCCCGGCGCAGCTCAGAACGCGGCTCCACCCGCGTCAGGCTGTGGCCGGCTAGCGTAGGATGCAGGGGCTACTCAGGGCTGGGCACGCGGCGGGGCGCGCGCTGGGGCGGGGCCACATGACGTTGAGGAAGGACAGCCAATCCGAGGAAGCCTCCACGGAAAGGGGCAGGGCCTTAGCATAGAAGGAGCAGATTCCCCGCCCACTCCCTACGGAGCGTTCCTGATTCTTGGGGTTAGTGGGTCCCTGCACCAGCGCCTGTCACCCCGAAACCAGGAGCCTCGTACCTCCCAATCCTCAACTTCAAGCCTAGGTCTCTCGGCTCCTTCTCAGAACCAAGACTCAGGTGTATGCCCGGGAACTCTCCTGCTCACCGCCCTTCACCCCAGACAGAACTCAGACCTATCACCTCAACATCCTTCCTAGTTTAGCTTCATCTCGAGAAAGACTCTGGGCTCACTGAGCATTGCTCCCAATGCCAAAAGTCCTGGCTCACCATCAGCCTGCCCTCTCTTTCACGGGGCGTCTTCTGCCCGGGGCGGGGGGGGGTGCATACAAGGGATTCGTTTGTTCAATAAGGCTTTAATTGTGTGTAAGATCCATTCAGAAATAAACTTGATCAAGATTCTTATCCTGTCCTCAAAGAAGAAGTCTTAATGTAGTCAGGGAAGACAAGGTGAGTTAAACAAGAAGCAAATGGAAGAGGAACAGACAGAGTCTGAGGGAACCCCCCCAAAAAACGTTTTTCTTAGATGTCTGAAGGTCCCTGAAAATGCATAGGGCTTTGTCAAGCAATGAGACAACTAGTTCAGAGAGAGGAAATAGCATGATGAAAAATGCTGGGGCGTGAATGAACAGTGAGAGTAGCTTGATTTCTTTTTGAAAGGCAAGTGCGTGGAAAAAGTGGTAAGAGAGGGAGGAAACAAAGGTAGTTGGAAGCCAGATTCTTAAGAGCTTTCAATACTAGACACATTTTCACAGGCCAGGAAAGATTTTAATCACGGGTGTAACATTTTAAAATATGTGTTTTAAAAACGATTGTTCGGGCTGCTCTGTGTGGGGTGGACAATGAGGGGGAGTGTAGGCAGGGAGATTAGTTAGAACACTGTGTCACTGGGCAGTAGAGCTATGCAGAAGGATTGTGCCAGGGCAGTGTTAGTGGGGGTGGGGAGGACAAGAAATACTAGAAATATTCAGAAGGCAAATCAGCAGAACTGAATGTGGAGAGAGAGGAGTCTGAGAGAAAGCCTAGGTTTCTGATAGGAGACCTTGGTGGGTGTTGGGGCTGTCACTGAGATAGGAACGCAGGAAAGAAATAGAGTGGGGAGACCGACAGGTCTATCTAGCTTTGGGGATCTTGTGGGGAGGCAACATGAAAAGAAACACGCACAGATAGGCGACCCTTCTGATGTGGACTTCCAGGCAGAGCTCTGAGCTGCAGAATAAGAGAGGTCATTAGTTAGTGGTGAGGCGGGGAGGGTGGAGGGTGCTAAAAGTATAGGAGCAAGTGCTCCAGCCCAGGAGAGATGCTCATTCGCAGGATGGACTGAGGGGCTTCCAACAAAGGCCTTTGGAAGTCGGTTGCACACCTTTACTGCGCAGAAAAGATTTAGGATTGAGCCCTGTGAAACCCCTAAATTTAGGATACAGGTCAAAGTAGAGAGGCCCTGAAGAGAGAAAGTGGAGTGGAGGGAACAGGAGGAAGTGACCAGAAAGGATTACAGGATGGGGGAGACTGGCCGGGTAGGGGTACCAAGTAGGTGTGGGGACAGAGAAGCCTGGGATTCCCCTTCCTGCCGAAAGGGGGAGCTACTCCACCGCCTCTGCCTCTTCCCTCGCAGCTCCAGCGCTACCCTCACTGTCCCGGAAGTGGTCCTTCTGTGGCTCCGGGTGCCGGGCACGGAATCTCAGCGCTCCCGGAAGTGGCCCGGGCGGCTCTGCAGCCCGGTCCGGCCGTTCTTGCTCCGGCCGGGGCGCTGGGGCTGCTCCTGGCCGGGCGCAGCCATGACCAACGAGCTGGACATCTTCGTAGGGAACACGACCCTCATTGATGAGGACGTGTATCGCCTCTGGCTGGATGGTTACTCGGGTCTGTGGGGGGACCGTCTGGGGGAGGTCATCAGGCCGAGCTGTTGTTTTGGATGGGGGAAGGAGCCGAGCCTGGACTTGGGCATCTATAAGATGCCCTATAAGGGAAGCGGGCAGAAGGAATAAGGGATGAATGGAGATAGGGGCTGAAACACCTGGAGGGGCTTTGAGGTCAGTGGGGCAAAGCCTGATGCTAGCGCCTACTCCCCAGTGAGCGACGCTGTGGCCCTGAGGGTGCGCTCTGGAATCCTGGAGCAGACGGGTGCCACGGCAGCGGTGCTTCAGAGTGACACCATGGACCACTATCGAACTTTCCACATGCTCGAGCGCCTGTTACACGCACCACCCAAGCTGCTGCACCAGCTCATCTTCCAGATCCCACCCTCCCGACAGGCGCTGCTCATCGAGAGGTGGGATGCCAACCACTCTGACCATATACCCATTTTGCAGGCTGAAACTGAGGTCCAGGGAGGGACAGGACTTCCCCAGGCCATGAGAAAGCTCAGGCCCCCTTTTTCCTCTTTCATGGAAAGTCAGTAGTGTCCTCTGCCTCCACGCAGGTACTATGCCTTTGATGAGGCCTTTGTTCGAGAGGTCCTGGGCAAGAAGCTGTCCAAGGGCACCAAGAAAGACCTGGATGACATCAGCACCAAAACAGGCATTACCCTTAAGAGCTGCCGAAGACAGGTGGGCATTGCAGCCCCCTCCTCACCCACACAGCATTTCATCTATAGTCCACCCTTTCACTCCACCGCTTTGGACACTGCCCACCTCTGTTATGGCAGCTGCTTGGTACCCAGCCTCTCCCTGGCGTGCCCCTTCCAGGCTGTCCTCTACTCTGCAACCAGCATGACCTTACAGAACCCCAGGTCTGACCATAGCTTCCTCCTGTCCATAAACTTTCAGTGGCTCCCACTCCCTCCTGGATAAGCCACACTCTTCCGCCTCGCCCTTCAAACACTCCTTTGATTTGGTCCTGCCAGCTTCTCCAGGCTTACAGTTCCCCAGCATCTGGCTTTGTTTTGCTCATGCTGCCCCATCCTGGAGGGCCCTGTTCTTGGCCATATCTATTCCTTGAAATCCAAGTCAGGGTCATATGTCACCTTCACAAGACTTTCTGGTGGCGCCGGTGAGGAGTAACCCTTCTGGAACTTTCACGTCTTTTCTCTGTGTCTCCTTTGAGCTCCCTGCATACAGCTTAGCATTTGCTCATTTTTTTACTTTCTGGGTCTTAGCCAAGACAGTCAGTTCCAGCACAAGCTTGTGAAGAACCGGAGAGCGTGATGCTAAAGTAGAATGAGTAAACATTTATCTGAGGCAAGGTGGCAAAAGTTGGTAGATGTTTGTTGAATTGATAACTTCCTGAAGGAATAACGGATGCTGTAGCAGCATGGGGAGATACGTGACGGATGGTGTTCAGTAAACAGTTTACTGGGTGAGCAAGCTCTGACCAGGCCTCCCTCCCCTGACTGCCTGCAGTTTGACAACTTTAAACGAGTCTTCAAGGTGGTGGAGGAAATGCGGGGCTCCTTGGTGGATAACATCCAGCAACACTTCCTCCTTTCCGATCGGTTGGCCAGGTGAGGCACCAGGCGAGGAGCCATCCATCTCCCCCATTCTGCACACTCCCCCGGCCCCCAAGGCTGGTCCATCTTCCCCACCCCCACCCACCTGACCTCCTGCCTCCTGGCTATGTTGGGGAAATGGTTATCTCACTCCTGGTCTGCAGTTTGGATCAGACGGACCTGGGTTCAAATCCTAGCCCCGCTGTTTACCAACTGTGCTGTTGTGAGGTGCCACATATAAAACACGCGGCACAGCCCCTGGGGTTTAGAAAGTGCTCAGCAAGTGGTGACGGCTACCACTGTGGTCTTCTGCTATATCCCTTCAGGGATCTGGGTTGAAACCTCTTCATGGATGAGGAGGCCCAAAGAAAGGTGACTTGAAACATGTCACACAGTGAGTTAGGGCAGGGAGAGGCCGGAACTCAGATGCCCAGCAGACGCCGCAGATGGGAGCTGCTCACCAAGAAGGGACTTCCAGCCCTGACAGGTCCACTGTCCCCTCCCTGCAGGGACTATGCAGCCATCGTCTTTTTTGCCAACAACCGCTTTGAGACAGGGAAGAAAAAACTGCAGTACCTGAGTTTTGGCGACTTTGCCTTCTGTGCGGAGCTCATGATCCAGAACTGGACCCTCGGAGCCGTCGGTGAGGCGCCCGGCCCCCACTGACCCGGGTGCCCAGACAGCTCCCTGCCCTCTCAGGGCCTGCTACCCCAGCAGCACTGTCTCCTGCAGGCCCCCAGTTCCCGGCATTCTTTGCCCTTCAGGGCCCCTCCCCAGCCGCCTCTGCTCGGAGTCGGGTATCCCCACACTCCCCTCGTCTGGGAAGAGCCCACTACTTCTCCATGGCCGGGGAAGGCATTCCACCTCTCTGACACCAATTTCTCCTTTGCCTCGTGGGGGTGCCATGTGGAGGGCGAGGAAAGAGTGGGTATCATAGGAGGACACTTTGTCACCCTCCCCCCCAACTGCCTCCCTGGGCCTCACTCAGACTCCCAGGTGGATGACATGGACGTGGACTTAGACAAGGAGTTTCTTCAGGACTTGAAGGAGCTCAAGGTGCTGGTGGCTGACAAGGACCTTCTGGACCTGCATAAGAGGTGACTCTGAGGAGGGGGGTCCATGGGGTGGGGCCCGAAGTGGAGGCCCAGGCAGCTCTAGGTTGGACCCCGTCTCCCTGCAGCCTGGTGTGCACTGCCCTCCGAGGAAAGCTCGGTGTCTTCTCCGAGATGGAAGCCAACTTCAAGGTCTGTACTCCAAGCCAGCTTATGTCCCTTGGGCATCTTTAGCCTATGGTTCACTGTCCCACCAGGCAACTCTGCGCATGCCCCAAACTGACCAGCAGTGGCGCAGCTGCTCCCTCTGCCCACCTGTAATGGGGGAGCCAGCCCCTAAACATTGGGGGAGTTATGTGACGGTGGGAGGTGGATAGATTTGGGGAGGGGCCCTCCCCCAGCCTCTGGGGCAGAAGGCAGAACTCCCAGGCTCCCTGCCCCACAGAACCTGTCCCGGGGGCTGGTGAACGTGGCCGCCAAGCTCATCCACAATAAGGACGTCAGAGATCTGTTCGTGGACCTCGTGGAGAAGGTGAGCTCTCCTGCCCACTGCCCACTCCTCTGCAACCTGGCCTGTCTCTGAGCTGTACCAATACTAGATGTTGCCTCGGCCCCGCAGTTCGTGGAGCCCTGCCGATCTGACCACTGGCCACTGAATGACGTGCGGCTCTTTTTGAATCAGTATTCAGCATCAGTCCACTCTCTGGACGGCTTCCGGTGAGAGACCCCGCCCAGCCAGCCTCCTACGGCCTCGCCCTCCTGCAGACTCAGGGCTCCTGTTTCGCCACCCTGGGGGTGGGAGGCTCTGTGGACCAGAGGCCTGGCTCCACCTCATAGAAGCTGTGACATGACCTTGGGCAGGTTCCTTATCTCCCCGTGCCTCATTTTCCTCATATTTAAATTGGGGATGATAATGGTAAGGATCACAAGAACACTGTGAGGACTAAGGAGGGAAGGTACACAGATCACTTGGAGCAGCGACCTGGTGTGGTGGCTTGTGGTAAACAAGCTGTCACTGTTGTCGTTGCAGGCACCAGGCCCTCTGGGACCGCTACATGGGCACCCTCCAGGGCTGCCTCCTGCGCCTCTATCATGACTAAGGCCCCCTCCCACCACCCTACCCGCACTGCCAATAAAGTTGCCATGACGTTGGAGGAGCCTGTGCGTGGGTCCACATAGGGGAACGTGAGTGGGAGGTGAGCTTGTGTGTGTACCTAAGTGTGGGGATCTGTGTGTGCGTTGGCCCTGCAGGGGCCAGGATGTGTCCGGGAGTGGTGTCTGCTCAATCCATCCATTTCCCCACCCAGCTGAGTCCACTTGGAATCCAGGCTCTTCTGTTGGTTTATTCAACCCATAGCAAGAGGATTGGGAGGACAGGGGAAGACTTCTGGGTGTGGCCAGCAAGGAGGCAGCTGGCACAGCAGGAGAGAGCTGAGAGGGGGGCTTAGGGAGGGCAGGAGATTGTGTGCCGCTTCTTGACTGGTGTGTCCACTAGGGCAGTAAGCGGGTACCTGGTGATGCCACAGGCATTGCTCCCTCGGTGCAGCCGGAAATAACCCTAGGAAGTCGGACGACATCAGGGCCGGAAGGTGGGGAGAGGCCCATCCTGTCCTTCCCCTCCCCGTAGACCCCACTCACCTCCTCGCCCCATTGGGCCCCCCAGGAGTTCTTCAGAATCCAGTACGGAGTGGAGTGACGAGGCCGAGGTTTAGACTGGGACAAGACGGCCTCTGTCTGCCTTCTCTCCCCCGACTTGGTCTTTCCAAAACCCACCAGCAGGACAATGTGGTCCACGTGCTGAGGGTCACAGGTGCCAGGTGCAGGCCTGATCACACCGTTCTTGTAATTCTGCAGGGGCAGAGGGGCTGAGTCTGGGGCCGTACCCCCTGTATGTTCCTCCCCCCATTCCCGACCTTATCCCACCTGCAGTAGCTGCATGTTGATGCTCACAGTGATCGGGCCCTCCGTGGCCAGGTACCGGGCCATTCCTGGGGTAGAGGTGCCATCAGGCCACGCTTGCCCACCTTCCCTGCTCCCGGCTCATGGTCGTCTCCACTTCTCTCCCACCTACCCTCATTCCTCCATCCCTGTCAATAGCCCAGTCTGTCTGCCTCTGTCCTGGTCTGTCCGTCCCTGTCACCCCCCTGCCACTGTCCACCTGGGTCTCTACCCTGCCCTCACCCTGCTCATTCTCCGGCAGCATGATGAAATCCTGGATCCAGGCCACCTTTTTGTACTTCTCGGCCTGGCACTTGTGGGCTCTGGCCTCCCCCCGGAATGGGTAGTCCCTTTCGCTGGCCAGGCCACCTGGAAGTAAACAAGGCCAGGAGGAAACTCCGCTCCAAAACATCCCCCCACACGCGCAGTCCCCAGAGAGGCCGGCACTCACTGTTGTTCATGACAGTTATAAATGCGTCCCAGATGTAGCCACCACTACAGCCATTCCCGCAGCGGTCACAGTCGAGGAGCTCTGGTGGGAAAGGGGACGGTGTGGGTGCCCAAGCCCAGGCCCCATCCCCCCACCAGCGCACATGCCCCTTTCCCCAGCCGTACCCTGCACGGAGACTTCCACAGACATTTTGTGTTTAATGGCCCACAGGGCCTCGATGTTGCCCGCTGCCGCCATGGCCCAGCAACACTTACAACTTTTCTGGTGGGGAGAGGGTGGGGGCTGGGTAAGGGGGCTGAGCCTTGCCCCTCTCTTCTCCCTCCCACCACTAAGGCTGGATGGGGCACGTTACCTGGTTCCTGACAGATGAGATGATGTTACGTGCCTTCCGCCAGTCACAGGTAGAGGGCACTGACTCTCCCCTCTCGCCAGATCCTACCTTTCTGTCCACATTGGGGGCCCTTCCAGCTGCCCTCTGATTCCCATACAGCTGGCCAAACTCCTCCTCTGAGGGACAAATGGGACCACCAAGATTACCGAGTTGACCCCTTCCCCAGTATTCTGCTTCTCCGGCTCCAGCTATCCACATCCTTGGCCACTTGTGTCCCCATAATATCCTGGGAGACAAAGGCAGGGATGCTGAGGAGTAGAGAGAGACCAAGTTCCTTGCTGGGGCACATCCCCTGGCACTTGCTACCTCAGCCTTGAACTGAGCAGGGACATAGGCCTCCGGAGTACCTGTCCCTACTCTCCAAGGTTTGGGTCCAGCACTTAGGCCTGTGGTCTTCAGGGTCCCTCTCTGGGAAATGAATGCCAACAGTCTATCTGGTCCATCTGCCGGTTCCCTTGGAGAAGGCTCTACTTCCCCAACCACCACCCAGGGGCCAGAAGGTGTCCTAGTACCTGTGAGGTCACTGAATGGAGTCACCCCAAACTCTGCCGTGCCCAGGTCGTCCTCCTGCAGCTGCTGAGCCCGGGCCAGGTTGCGGGCAAAGATATCCAGGCGGCGAGCATGCTCTGGACCAAAATAAGGTCTTTCCAGGGGCAGGAAGTGATCACCAGCTGGGTGTCCTCCCTCCCGCACTCACCCAGAGGAGGATAGGTTCCTTTCCTGTGGCCCCTGCAGGCTCCGCTACAGGTGCCTGGGCAGAGGAACGGCTCCCCAGCCCACCTCGGGTTGGGTTTTCCCAGGAGGCAGGAAGGATATCTCTGCCCACCTTTGGGGGAAGCCAAGTAAAGGGTCTGAGGACCAAGTGACTCAGAAAGGAAAGTAGGTGGTCAGAGACCACAGACAGGTTTCCTGTTGTCAGGTCGCCTCCTTCACACCTCTGACCACAGGCCTGGGGCTGGGACCTGGCAGGATGGCAGGGGTGGGGGCGGGTGGGGTATAGGCCCATGACATGGGCTGAAAGACACCCACAGATTATCCCTCTGTGGATGAGACCCAGAAAGAGGGCAGGAACAGGGTTGGCAACTCAGGGTGGAGAAGGGGTCCCCAGCTTGGGGATAAAAGGTGTATCCTTAGGTGTCCGCTGCATGAACTCATGGCTAGATGGTCTCCTGTCCACTGCCAGGAGTCAGGACTGAGGCTATGGAGGCAAAGGATCCTCTAGGACTGGGCAGACCCCCAACAGCTGCCACCTCCCCCCACACTCATAGCCAAGAATGACCCTGTCCCCCTTTGCATTCTGGAACAGCACACCTCAAGCCCTGCCGATGTCCCAGGAGAGCTTAGGCCAAGCCCATTTCTCATCCTGAGCCCTGATTTCCTCATCAATTAAATAGGAGAAGTGAGTTTGGACTGCAGGTGTACAGGCCCCGTGATACCTGCTGGGTTCGAGTAACTCCGGTTGTACTGGATCTGGAACAAAGTGAAGACCTCTTTCAGTTCCAGTGGCCGGGGACCTGGGTCCTAGAAGGAAGCAAGGGTGGTGGGAGAGGGGGTTGAGCAAGGAATCATTGCTGGGACCACACCGTGGCTTCCAGCCAGGACTGGGCGAGGGGATCAGCCAGTTAGCCTGTTCTGTCTCCCTGTGCAAGCTTGGGCATATCAATCACCTCTCCAGCCTCAGTTGCTCCCTCTGAGAAACGTGGACACAGTGGTTGTTTCTGGAGGGGTGAGCCCCAGGCATGGGGCTTGCAGGGGGGAGGGTGTGGGGAATGGACTGTGGGCACTTACCTGGCCTCCGATGCCTTGGACCAGACCTGCCACCAACAGGGCCAGGGGGCAGGAGAGACAGACAGCTAATGCCATGTTGCTGTTGCTGCAGACCAGAGTGCCGGGGTGGGCAGGAAACTGCACACCAAATTGGAGGGGGTGGAGCTGGAGAAACCACGAAGGAGAAACCAGGCCGGGAGGGGAGGGCAGACCCCTCAAGCAAAGGCACTAGAACTTTTGTTCCTATGTAGCCCTCCGCCTGCCTACACCCCCTCCCACCCACTTTTCTTTACTCAGCAGAGGCTTTCTGCCTGCCCTGTTCTGGGCAATTCTTGGGATCCAGAGATGGATCTGTCCTGAAGGAAACAGGAGGAGACAGGTTCTAAGAGGCAGTGACAGAAAGCCATTAGTGTTGCAGTGGGTAAGCCCAGGGGGCTTTGGGAGCCACAGGCCCCTGACCACTGACAGGGTGTGGAGGGAGGGTGGTCAGTGCACCCTAGGGGAAGCACTCTTGCTCATCCTACAAAGCTTCTTTAGCACAAGAGTCACCCCCAAGAAGCCCTCCCTGCTCTCTCCCCCAGCCTCTGATGTGACCTGCAACCCCTTGAGCCCCTGCTATGTCTGCGCCTGCGCCTGCCTGGCATCCTCCTTCCAAACACACCAGAAGTGTCTGTGGTGCCTGTGTCCCCAGCTCCCAGGATGTAGCCGGGCTCGGAAGCAGGCTTGATGGGTGTTGTTGACTGAACAGTCGGTCATCGTGGGCTTTAAACAGGGAAATGCAAGTGGCAGGTGCACGGGGAGGGGACAGGCAGCAGTGACTCCTGCCTCCGTTTGTTCCTCATCCCCTTCCATCACAATCTGCGTGGGGATGAGGGGACTGGCAGAAAGATGGGGGACTGGCATCTCAGACAGAGGGTTGGGCAGGGGTGCACATGTCACTGCTGCCTCACTTGTAAGGGGTCCTTAGGCTGGGGCTCTCTCTTGTGAGCCTCCAGGCTGGGAACCAGGCCCCCAAGACCAGAGATGGGGGAGAAGAAACTCGTTTTCTAGGGGTTCCATGCAGATGGGGGGGAGTGGTACGGAGAAGGGCTCCGATCCTGGGACTCGTTTACTCGTGTGCTCACAATCTCATTTCTTCATCCATCAGGAATCTGTCCCATTGTGCTGCTCCACCCTGACTACCACCCCAGACAATAAGCCAAGGGACTCCTCTATTTGGAAAAAAATGCTGTGTTGCTTTTATTAAAGTTCAGTAAACAGACCATCCACAGAGTAGCACCAGGCTCCATGGTTCTAGACCCCAGTCACAGGCCCCAAGCCAGCCTTGGATTGCATTGACCTATGACTAAGGCCCCGTGTGCATCAGCCCTCAGAGCTTGAGGTCGCAGTATGAGCGCCAAGGGGGGGTGTCATAAAATCTGCTTCTGTGGTGCTGGGGTTGTGGAAATTTGGCGGAGGAGAGGCTGGGTGTGTGGGGCTGGGCTGCCTCCCTCTGAGATCCACTCCTTCCCCTCTTAAATGTGAGCCCCACGAGGCCAGGAGATTTGTCTTCATCTTTTTTTTTTTTTTTTAAGATCTTATTTATTTATTTTTAGAGAGGGAAAGAGGGAGAAAGAGAGGGAGAGAAATATCAGTGTGTGGTTGCCTCTCGAGCTCCCCCCACTGGGGACCTGGTTGGCAACCCAGGCATGTGCCCTGACTCAGAATTGAATTGGTGACCGTTTGGTTCACAGTCTGGCACTCAATCCATTGAGCCACACCAGCTGGGGCCATTTTCATATTATTTTAAATAACAGCTTTATTGAGATATATGCAGTAATGAACATACCATAAAATTCACCCTGGTAAAGTGGACAATTCAGTTTTTTAGTGTATCTGGTAATGGTGCAATCATCAAATCACCACCATCTAATTTGAGAGCGTTTTCATCATCCCAAAGAAACCCCATCTTCATTAGCAGTCACTCCCCATTACCTTTTCCCCTGTTAAACGCTAACCTAGTTTGTCTCCCTGATTTGCTTATTCTGGCTGTCACATGTGGCCTTTGTGTCTGGCTTCTTTCACCTAGTGTAGCATTTAGAGGATTTATCCATGTGGTAGTGCACATTAGTTCTTTATTCCGCTTTATGGCTGAATAATATTCCACCACATTTTTTTTATCCATTCAGGTTTATCCATTCATAAGTCGATGGATATGAAACGGCTTCTGCATTCTGGTTCTTATGAATAATGTTGCTCTCTACATTATTTTTTGTGTGTACAAGTTTTCAGCTTCCCTGGGTATACACCTGGGAGTGAAGTTGCTGGGTCATGTAACTTGTTGAGGACCTGCCAGAATTTTTCCGAAGCGATGCAGCATCTTACATTCTCACCTGCATTGTGTGAAGGTTCCATTTCTTCCATGTGCCTGCTAGCACTTGTTGATGTCTATCCTTTTGGGTTTAAATAGCTATTATTTTTAGCCTCTTCACACAAGCAGCTGGGAAGGATTTGGGGATGGGGGAGACGCTCTTCAGTTCACTCTGAACCTAGAGCTCACCTTGGGACCCACCGAAATGTCCCTTGCTAGGCACGTCCCCTCCTAGGCACGCCCCCTTCCCGGCAGGGCTGCGTTCGGGGCTATAGTGAGGATAAACAGGTAAGAAAGGCAAGGGAGGGCACGGTGAACTGCCGCCTGCCCCCAGGCGGGGGATCCCTGGACACGCGGCCGTTTCCCGTCCGGCTCCGCCCAGAGACGTGCACAGGGAGAGGCTCCGCCCCTTCCTGGGAGCCAGCTCCGCCCAAGCTCCTCCCCGAAAGGCGCACCCTACACTTGGGGGAGGAGGCGGAGACCCGGGGGTTTAGGGAACAAGGGTGGGAGGAGGGCTGGGAAGGCTCTGGCACAATATCCTGGGGATCTGCACGCTCGAGTTTGGCCCTGTCCGCCTTTTCAGGGGCTTCCATTCATTCTGGGCCAAAAGGGAAGTGCAGCCCCCGCCCCCAAACTGTTGTAGCCTCCAGGACCGAGGGCTCGCGGAGGCTGTCCTGAAATGAAGGGACCACCAAGCTGAAGACAGCCCTGGGGATGGAGGGGAGAGGGAACAGAGATGAACAGTTCTGGGCCTGGGAGCGTCCCGTCCTCGGGCGAGGGTCTGGGGACCCTGAAGGAAGCTGTAGTATTTCCAGAGTGACTTTCCAGGTGCACGGAAGAACATTTTGTAGAGTCTAAACGGAGGACCTGGTAGCACCAGTATTAGGTTAGTTCCAGGAGCCCAGGACGACATCCTGGGAGGCTCAGCAAGAGTTTGAGGGCCTCCACGTTAAGATGTGGGCGCACAGGATGGAATTCTAGGGGCGCAGGTTCGGTAGGGGTCTGGGTGCGCAATGTGACATTCTGGGGTGCACAAAGTGAGGGCCTGGGGGCTCCCGGGTGAGTCTGGGGGCCTGGTACCACTGCCAGTGCTACCAGGATCTAGCGCTAAGGGACCGTGGCTCAGAGCCGAGAGGCGGCTCCGGGCGGCGCCGCGGGGGACCGGGTGGGGGCCTGCGGCCGGGCAGGGGCGGAGAAGCGGGGGGTCGGGGTCCCTCCCCCTGGCGCGGGCTCAGGAATCCACCGAGGGGCGGGCGGAGGCGCCGGGGTGGGCCGCGCCGCTGCAGGCGGGCGGGCGGGGGGCGCTTCCTGGGGCTGCGCGTCCAGGGAGCTGCGCCGTCTGCCCGTCCGTCTGCCCGCAGGCACTGCCGGAGCCAGCCGAGCCGCCGGAGCCGCGGGCCGCGGGGGCGTCGCGGGCCCAAGTGAGTGGCTGTCCGTGGGGGAAAACAGCGAGCCAGAGCCTCGGCCCAGTCGGCGTCAGCGAGGAGCAGATAGGCCTGCGCTCCTCTGCCCGCGCCACTGTGGGACCGGGCGGGGGCGGGGCGGCCCTGGGCTAGTGGGCCCCGAACCCCGGCCTGCTTGAGGAGTCGGCCTGCGTGAAGAGTCAGCCCTCGGCCCTGGGAGACTCCGGGGTCCTAAGTGCGGTACCGAGCGGGAGGCGGCTGGGGCCAGGGCTCTGAGTCCTGGTACAGGGAATGGGGGTGCCGTGGCAGGGGCGCCCTGACCCCTGCCCACCACCTCCCAGTCCCAGGATGCTCCCCTTCGCCTCCTGCCTCCCCGGGTCTCTACTGCTCTGGGCGCTGCTGCTGTTGCTCTTGGGGGCAGCGTCTCCCCAGGATTCGGAGGAGCCTGACAGCTACACGGTGGGGACCATGGGCCCACTGGCCTGGGCTGGGCTGGGCTGGACACAGAGACCAAGATCCTGGGGTGCCTGCTGGGGTGCCCCCTGGTTGGTGGAGCAGCTGGGGCCATTGTTTGGAGCAGTCCCGGGAGGGTGGCTAGGCTCAGGGCCCTGGTCTTGGCCTGGTCAGTTGGAGGGGACAGGGGGTGAACACTGGCCACTGCTGGTCCCCTTGTAGGAATGCACAGATGGCTATGAGTGGGACCCTGACAGCCAGCACTGCCGGGGTGAGTGTGCCTGGGGGACTGACCCACCCCCCAGGAACCGGGATAGGGACTGCAACCCCAGCTGCTGCAAGAGCTGCTGCAGGAGGCCAATGGCCTGTCTGCTGCCCAGCTCTATTTTGCCAAAGCCAGCTCTGGCTCTCTGGGGGCCAGCTCAGCCAGGGGTAGAGAAGCCATCCAGGTCCCTCCCTCTCAGAGAAGCCCAGGACACCCCGCCCCCACCTCTGAGTAGGCAGGAGAGCTACGCGGCACTGCCCCAGGGACACCACTGTCTTCAACCACCTTCCTACCCAGCTGTGTCCAGTCATACCCCAGGAGGGCAGTGTCTCTGGGGATGTATAAGGAGGCCTGCACATCACTCTTGGGCTGAGCCAAGGTCAGATCTCAGGGAGGGAGAGATTCTCTTAGGGGCAAGAGAATGGGGGTGCCTGTGGGAACAGTCACCCCACCATCAGCCCTGGCAGACTCCTGGGAGGGGTCCTGGGCAGGCGGCCTTAGCTTGTTCAGTAGAGAGAAGGCCCTGCCTGGGTCGCATAGCTTAGGGAAGGCGAAGCTGGGCTCCCACCTCCCACCCCCTTCACAGCCCCCCCTGGGAGACTGGCTGTGCCCAGCAGGCCCCTCTCTGCAGATGTCAACGAGTGCCTGACCATCCCTGA